CCGTCATGACTCTGCCAATGACACGATCGACATCGCCCCCAATCAAAGGGTGGGCACCAAGAGGTCTGTGTCCACTTATCGCTGAGTCTTCCTCTCTCACTCACATCTCTGACCCCTTTCCTAGAATATTCTTTCATTCTGTACATCACTACAGCATGGGATTGTTTTTATGTCTCACAGGTACATGGCTCCAGAGGTTCTGGATGAGACTATCAACATGAGACACTTTGACTCGTTCAAATGTGCCGACATCTACGCCCTGGGGCTGGTCTACTGGGAGATTGCACGTCGCTGTAACAGTGGAGGTCAGATTCTTTTTGTTTTCCTGCTTTTTTTATTTTTTTTATTAGTGTTATAAGCCTGGATCACAGCACTGTTCTGAACTCAACACTGTTCTGTGTCATCAGGTATCCATGAAGAGTACCAGCTGCCCTACTATGACCTGGTACCTTCTGATCCGTCCATAGAGGAGATGAGGAAAGTGGCGTGTGACCAAAAGCTCCGACCCAACATCCCAAATTGGTGGCAGAGCTATGAGGTATGGCAGAGCAGCTAATTAAACTTAAATGGTTTAATACAACCTGGAGCTTGTCTGTGTCGTTTTGGCTATTAATCATGTGGCTAATGGCAAAATTGTACTCAACAATTTAGAAGAGCTGTCTAGGCCATAATAATTCAAAACTAATTTAAAACAAATACAAATGAATACCAATTTTCTCATGTTATTGATTTATGTACAAACAGATTTTTTTTAATGTGTTTGTAACACTGATTCTGTATCGTATGTGGAATTTATAAATATGAACAGTTAATGTGGTGAGTTCAGTGTTATTAGAGACTGGTTTAAAAAAAATAATATCTATTTAAGCTATGTGAAATACTGTGCCACATTCATATTAATAACTTAATTCATTTTATAATGTCATAACATCTTAATTCCCTGTTCCCTCTCCTCCTCCTGCCGTTCCAGGCTTTGCGGGTCATGGGTAAGATCATGAGGGAGTGTTGGTATGCGAATGGAGCTGCCCGCTTGACAGCCTTGCGAGTGAAAAAGACGCTGTCCCAGCTCAGCATTCAAGAGGACATTAAAGTCTAAGTGGAGTCAGCAGAGCACTGAGGAGGAGCACTGAGCGGGGCCCGGCTTCAGACTGTAGGACAGTGAGAGGAAGGCTCCGGGCCCTTCTCCCAAGAACGCACAAAGTAAGAGAACATGATGGAGAGTGGCACTTTGTAAAATATTTGTCCATAGACACTCCTGCCAGTTTTGAAGCCACTTGATTTCTGACAAACCCTACCTCGCTTACCCAGCCAAACTACCAAGAACACCTTTCCTGTCTTGTCCACAGCTACTGCTGCCCTACCTGAACCTTTCTGTTCCTCTCTACACTCCATACTAACAAGGATCCTTGAGTTTCCTCTGTAACTGTATGCAATCAATAGCAGGACATGTAATTAACAAGTTAACATTATAAAAATAAGTTGCTGATTCATTATGCTTGATAGTCGACGATCAAAATTCACTTTTATTGTCCTTGTAAGGGGTCAGGCTGGGAGGGTTAGGGGTGTTTTAACTTATGTTTACTTGTTCTGTGATTTAAGTGACTAGATCTAATATATATGGGTGTTTGTGAGGCAACTGTGGCCGAGGCTACAGCACACAGGCACATGGCAAACAGCTTATAAATCATTAGAAAATAATCCATCTGGTTCTGCTGCAGTATTGTCGTTTAGTTCAGTGCAGATAAACCATGTTATCATGTGCAGTTGAGACAGTTTGTGATAAGTTGACTTTCAGCAAGGTGTTCTAAAATTTCACTGGAGCATTGCGGCCGGGCTGCACTGGACGTGTGTGGATCGCAGATTGATCGCTTTTCATCTCGATGCCCATATTATCAGGTTAGAGTGGTCGCACTGCCTGTGTGAGCCACACATCTCAGGTGCATTTCACACACGCGAGCCGCGGATCTCTCTTTTAGAGAGTCGGGGTCTCAGCTATTTTCACCACGTGCCGCACACGGTTCACAGCAAAATAGACAGAGAAAATCATCTTTCACCAGTTTTAATTTCTCTATCTGTCAAATGTGTTACAAACATCAATATTAGCAACAGATCCTTTACCAAAGTAAACTACTGAAATATTTCAGGACCAGAAGATGCACGGTTTCATGCCATAGAGTCCTGGTATTAAATCGACTACATAGGCTGCTTCTATTCAAGGAAATACAGAAGTCATACCAGAAACATCATGTAGCAGCAGCTCCTCAGCAATCACATTTTCTGTGGGAACAACAGACCCATGCAAGAAGCAGCAGATCAGCGTCACGGTAAACATGTACCCAGTGCGGCCCGGGCATAAGGACACCTTGCAAAGCAGGATTTAGCCTTTCCCATGAACTGTTGTAATCCTCAGGTTGTCTTCATCAATCAAAGATTTTTTCAGTTTAAAAATAGTTTAAGAAAAATACACATTTAGGGTTTGTTAAAGAATTTTTCTAGGATGGAGGATTTGACTTGTTGAGCGACAGCTGCCGGTCATCTGATACTGTAGGTTTCATGTCCTTGAACTTCTCAGTTGACTTGCTGGCTTCAGATCTGGACACTACTAATGCAAAACACTACATGCAGCATGTTGCACAGTGGTATATGTAGTCTGTTTATATGATGGTGTCCTAATGTGAATCAAGCTGCTGTCCCTCTCTCAGTGAACCCAGAGCGTAACCTGCCATGAGTGTGTACACTGGCTCCAGTCCCTCAGATAAGCTGGATTACACAGATAAACTTTTGCAGCTGCCAATACTATTTACACTGTACATTAAATGCAAGGTGGTATTGTATTGTTTTAATTTACTTTTAACACTAACTCCAGGAATCTGAGTAATAGTTTTGTTTGTTTTATTTCATATTGTCAAAGCATGACCAGTGTTCTTTTGCCCTCAGGGCTCATTTACCCTGGCCAAGTATAACTACTGCACATTAACTAGCTTTTTCAGGTGATACTTGTGTTTATATATATTTGATTGATACTTAGGGCATGTTTTAGATGGTTGAATCTCTTATACCAGCTTTTTGGTTGGTGGGAAGAAAATCAAAGACTTCTGTTTCAAAAAGAATCACGTAACAGTCTACTTTCTGACCTCTGAAGTAACATTACTGTATAATTGTCAAAAACACTGCTTGTTTGTTGAGTCTTTTTTTTAGCTCTCTGATAAAGCAGAGCAATATTTGATTTTGTTATCATATCCCCCTGCTGTTCCTTTTTGTTCACCATGCATTACCTCCTCAATGTGCAAACTGTATGTGATCTGTTTCCTTTGTGCTAAAGTTGTCAGAAATCAATCTACAGTTTTTTTGTTTTCAGGAAATAGATGCACTTTTGTCTTTTGGTTGTATGCAAATGCAACAGGTACTGTTTGTGTGTATAGTCTGTCCCATGTTATTTGTGTGTGTAGGCTGTGAGTCCCTATATGAAAACCTGAAAGGCCACGATGTGCACTACTACTGACCTCACAGCATTAAAACCAAATTATTCTCAGAATCATCTCTGCTCTCAGACTTCAGTGTTGATTTAAGATCGCGCCACTGAAAACGAGAATGTTTACACAACGGCAGTCAGTTGCAGTACACTCCAGAGAGAATCAGACTTTTCTTTGGAATCTCTGGGAGAAGAAACTAAATACTACTGAAATGACTCAACACTGTCTCAAATGTGTTTGACCAGTACTTAATCATTTAGATTCCCTCGCTCACCTTTACTGTATTGTTAAAGTCTTAGGGGACGTGAGTAAGAAGAGACAGACTGCACTCGATGCTGTTGTTTTTGGCTTGACAGCCTGGGAAGCTCTGCAGTTTAATATGTGGTTGAATGTCATCCATATAAAGGTATGTTTGTCAAATTGTATTTGCCTTACAATGTTAAAAAAATTAAACTGCATAGTGTATTTAAGGTTTTAACACCTTGCTCCAGTAGTGGAATGTGAGTTTAAGAAATTGGGTATTATACTTCAAATTGTGTTACCTTCCAGGTCTCTGTCCAGTTATAGCAAAGAGACAATTGTATCCATGTACAAACCCCTTCAGGACTTCAATCATGTATCTTCTAATATAGAGTAATAAATACATTGGTTTTCCTATGTTTTGTTTTTCTCTTTATTTAATCTCTTCCATCATCTACCTTGCACTGAAAGAGATAAAGCAGCTATAGGAAATATTTTGCATTCGTAGTGGTTCACACTAATAGTATAAGAAAAGGGTTTAGTGATCTCACAACTGTGCGGCTCTCCTCAACTCTTAAGGAGCATTTTAGTGCCTTTCTGCTCATTGTTTTGGTTTTCATCCCACATCTTATATTAATTGGTCAACTCCTTCCCATAATGTTTGTAAATCGTATGTACTACTATAGACTGTATAGATTCCTCTCTATCCAGTAATGTAGTAAAAATATCCTAAATACAAACGCATTTGGAGTCAGACTCAGCGCAGCTGTGATCGGTGGATGGAGTCACAGCAGAAAGGTCCCGCCAATAAATTCAACCAATCGCAAGTCAGTCTCAGCTGTCAATCATAATGTTTCATCCCATTTTTGTAGCATCAAATATCTAATTAAAACCAAACCTGGGAAAAATAAACTCTTGTACAAACATCAGTGTGATAAAACTGCCTGAAATGACAGAGACTAACATGGAGAAAGAAGGATTTACACCGTACACTGCAGGCAGCCAGCCACCAGGGGAAGATCAAGACACTTTGGCTTCACTTTTGGGGAGCAGCCATGCTGCCCATCTTTCCATGGTCTCTGTTTGCTTCCTGTCCAATACCAAACTGACACAGTAAGGGATTTGTTGGTGAAGATCTTGGAGCATTTAGTGTCTAAAGTGTCCAACCTTTCCCTCAGGAGTTGGACATACATTTTTTGTATTTCAATGTTGTTTATGCTGCCAAAAACACAATGCTACCCAGTAATGTTTGATATTCAGAACACGATACACCAAAAATTAACACAATTTACAACAAACTCCAAAGAACCTTTATTGCTCTTCCTTTAAATTATAATCTCAATTCAGATTAGTACAAAAAAACTGCCTTTACATACAGTTGAACCTTTCAATATATTTCATGTATACCAAAACAAAGTGTGTAAATTGGCCTATAATCATTTGAAACTAGAGGAAATGCTGGTATTTATTGATTTTGATAAAATGATTCCATAGACACAATGAACAGCTGAATAAACATCAGATACTCTGACATCAACATTAACACTTCACAAACTTATGAATCAGAAAATGAACAAACCAGGAACTGTTAATTTGACCACTAGTCTTGAGTGATGGACCACATTTCCAAAAACCAATAAACAAACACCTTTAAGTTTAATAATGCCAAACCCCAAAGAGTAGTTAACAAAACCTGCAGGAAAAGAAACTTCTCTCTGGAGTAAAATGTACAATTCATGTACGTTTAGTTACATGTGACAACAGAAAATGGCAAAACATAGAACCCATAAATATTCAGCGGTTGTACACAGAATACACTACGATTAACGGCTGTCTATACAACAGATTGATCGATGAATGACTAGTGAGTCTAAAGTGCTGTTTCCAGGTTTGCTACTTCGCTGTCTGAAAACAACAGATTAAAAGCAAAGCCCTTCGATTCTTCTCACACTGGTAACTGGGGGACATTCATTTTGTAGATCACATTAATGCATTTCAATTCATTAAAGTTTAAATTCATCCAGAGCGAGTTGAAGGGAAACATCCTGACGCTGAAATCTGTCAAAATCTGCTCTTATTTAAAATAAGTAAAACCAAAACAAAGTCTTTTTAATTTAACTCCCGAAATTATTTTGACTATTTGCAGACACTGATAATCTCCAATGCTGTTCCTATAGTTTGATAACAAATTACTTGAAATTATTTCCAATCTTCTTGAAAAGGTAATATGTGGAAAGAATGTGTCTGAACACATACAGATACTGTAAATACTATATCCATCAATATGTCTTTACAAATTGGAAGAAGGTGGTTATTCAAGTTAAAAAAGAAGACTGACAGCTCGATCCTCCACCTGTATTTAAATAATTAAACTAACTGGATATGGATAAACTAGATCATAACATCATAGTTCTTAAAAATGTTTTATTGTGTGTTGTTGTCTAAGAACAACGAAAGTTACACAGTGTTGAATATGACCCTTCGATTGGCTCAATGTGCATCTGAACTTCAGCATTATTCTAGTAATCAGATGCTGCCAACAAAAGGCAATACAGGTAAATCAGGTTTTGCTTTAGCTAATTATCTGATTTCTTATTTTATCTGAGTGGCGGAGGTTTTCAGTGCTTCGCATCTTTCTTGTCACACTCGTCTGGTGACTTCGGATTTTGCTCAACTCACAAGAGCTCCTGAAGTGTCCCGTATAACTAAATTTATATATTGCTGCGTTGCTAAAACTAGGTGAACTTCATATTTTTGCACAGAGGCAGATATTTTGGTGCGAATAGAGGAAACCTAGTTAGAAGAGATGGATGATGATAACTGGACCCTCCTCCGTAATTCCCCTCTTACATTTCTGCTGCTGTTCCTCCTGAAACCATGTAGCCTTTTCCCGTGTTCGTAACTCAAGCAGTGCCTGAGGAGGAAAATCAAAAATGTGTCATGGACGCATTGGGGGAAATGTGTGGAAGATTAAACTGCTTTAAATGCTTCTTAAATACATAATCTATTTGTAATGTGCTCCTGAATCTATTCAAGAATGCAGAGACTGCTCCAAATAACAAGCACAACTATACTTACCCTCCTCTCCATCAGTCAGCACAAGTGCCTGGAGAATATCTGAGAGCGAGACGATTCCCTTCACCACTTCCTGTTCATCCACCACCACAAGCCTGTGCACCTAAGCAAAACAGGAGAAGACCATTTGTTACTTTTAACTATGCAAAACCCATTTTCTACCATTGCCAAAATAATGTGTCGAGAAATCGATGCACAACAATACATCCATGCACATGTGACTTTTCTGATGACATGCATTTCAGGAATGTCTCATTATATGTTAAAGCTCCTTCACACTCTAGACAGTTAAAAAGGCCACATGCAACAAGGAATAAACCAGTTACAGGTGCAGCAACAACTAAACCATAACATCCAACCCTCACCTCAGCCTCCACCAGTCTGTTGATGATGGCCTCCAGGGTTTCGTGTCTGTTGCAGGTCAGAACGCCTTCAAAGTACTGAGAGCGGTGCTGCAAGGCTTTGGTCACTGTTATATCCAGGTTGTTGTACGTCTTCTCTGCTGCCAGGTTCTGTAGAAACACAGACCCTTGAATTAAAAATCTCTCCTCTTCTTTAAAAGTTGCATTCAAAAAATAAAGTTTAAGATATGTTTTGTTGTACAATAAATCATCTAGCAATTCAGAGAAAAGTACATAAATGTGACAAAATGTTTTTGGCTACTGCAATTAATTAATTTCCTAAGACTTTTCTAAGATCTGAAACCTTGAAGGAAAAAAAATTTAAATCAACATAATTCTGACATACAACACAGGCCAAACACATTCAAACACAAATGTATAATTATTGTAGAACATAGTTCTCTTTTTTATACATTTTGTCATGTTTCCCAATCACTGACAATTTTCTTTTGATTATTTTTCAAGTAAAGATTCTAATTTGAATGTTCAATGCTCTTGTTTTGTAAACATTAACCAATATTTCTGTTCAAATAAAATAATCTGTTTGAATAAAATTGAGGTAAAATAATCGGCATATTAACAAATAATGAAAAAATAAATTGCAGCTCTACTTAATATAAGAAATAAAACAGGAAATAATCCCTTATTAGCTTGAAAGAAAAAAAACGTAGAAAAACAGAGTGAGTAGACAGATGACAACTTACTATAACGTCAAATTTTGAGTATATATCCACAACTCGACCTGCAGGTGAGAGACGGGACCACAGTTCATTAATATAATTCAAGAGGTCTCTGGTCATTCATGTCAAGACGACAAGGGTGTAATTTCAAGCAGCCCACACACCTTTGTCGTCCACAACGGGGAGCGCTGACACTCGCTGCTCAACAAAAATACCCAGCGCCGTGTACAGCGGTGTGTCTGCACGGACCACCGCTATGTTCTTAAAGGTTCCGATGTTCAGATCCTCTAAGGTCTGACGCAAGAATGAGGGTTTTGGCATCTCTGATATCTGGAAACAGTGACAAGAAAATAAACAATTGAATGAAACTGTATGTTGCTGTTTCCTTAACTCTGTAATAGACTTCTGCAGTGTCCCGCTGAAAAACACAAGCAGATGTTTTACAGTTTTATTTTGCAATTGAATGTGGTGGCAGTGAGGAGAGAAGCCGATGAGACTCACAAAAAGTTTCAGGAACTTGAGAATCCTCTTGTGAGTGAGAATATAGAGCGTGTTCCCTGTCAGGGGATCGATGACTGGCAATCTGTGAATCTTGTTCTTCAGCAGAGACGATACTGCATCATACAAACTGTAATGAACAGAAATTAAAAGAGAACCAAGTTAATTGAGTTATAAGGGATGAAATGAATGAATAACATAAAATTAAAGTAAGATGATCATAGTTTGTAGTGGGGATTTGTATCAACAGGAAATGTAATATCTTTAAATGTGGGTTAAGTCACTGTTGTGGGTACAAAGAAAACTTAATTCAGCCCCTACCCCAGCAAAAAAAGCTCAAGTGTTATGTGTTGATAACTTAATGGTGTTTTAACAGCCACATAACTTGTTTACATAAAAACCAGGGGTGTTGGCTTTTGAGACTTTGAAGGTGGGGACAGTGGATGACGTCTCTGCTAAACCACACAGGATTTAACACGCCATTCAAAGTTCCTCCTCCACTCAACAAGCAAGAGAGAGAGAGAGGGGAGCACAGCAAAATAAGGAGGGATTTCTTTTAAATTAGCCTATTTTCTTAAAAGGAAATGTGCAGAATATACCTTTAAAAATCTGCTGAAAATACAACAACTTAATGCCACAGAGTTAAGCATCAGATGTCACCCTGGTTTTATGTTCCAGGATGTAACTACCATGCATTCAAGAGACACCATGTGACAACAACGAAGACAAAATGCTGATGCATGAAAAAACAACTGCTAACCAAGCATTTAAAAACACTGACAAAAACTCACCTTGCACTGGGATTTATGCTAACCAAGGGCTTGAAAGAGTCCTGAAGGTACAACTCTGTTATAAACATAACAAACAATACAGTTTACCTTCAGGCTGACCAGTGTAAATGACAAGAAAGATATTGGATATTTCTTAACCATTCTCACCTCTCCATGTTTCAATTTTGTGTTCTTCCAACTCATATATCTGAACCTGAAAGATTGCAAAGAGAGAGGGGTTTGACTCCAGAGGAAATAATAAATAGGCTGAGATAAGCTCTTTTTTAAGCTTTAATATGTTACATTAAGCGTCTTACCAATGGAGATTTGTAATAGCGATGAAGAATATTAATGAAGTCTGTGATGGTTAGCATACCTGCAGAGGAAAATAAGAAACATTTAATCATTCCTTTGTTTAATTTAGTCTTAAAAAAAGAGTGAGATTGAGCCAAATGAAAATTACACTTACCAACAAAGCACTGCTTCTTACTGTCCCACAGAGGAGCTGCTCTTACCCCATTAGAAACAAGTGCAAAGAATGCCTTCTTCACCTGTAACAATAATTACACCAAAGGATTCAGTCTTTACCTGAAATTTGTGTTTGTCTGTATGTTACTTTTTGGGACATATAATTTCACTGTGCAATGATAATAAAGGCTTTGAATTGAATTGAATTGAAATCACAACATGCATTATCATAAGGAACTTTACAAACTAAGGCTGAGACTTAACAATATTCTAGAGAAACCCAACAGCTGCCACAATGGGAAGCCACTGTGGAGAGAAACAACTAACTGGGAGAAACCTCCAACAGAACCAGACTCAATGTGGGCAGCCATCTGCCTCTATCAGTGGGGTGAGCGGAGGAAAATGGATGAGAGACAAAATGGGGAAGAGGGAAGGTGAGTGGAGAAAAGACAAAGAGTAACAGGAACAGCTGTGTAACCATCACCTTAAAGCTTTGTTAGACTGTTGTACCTGAAGCGATGTGTCGAACACAACCAATTTGGAGCTGGTAGGTACGAGGTCATAACACCGGTGAGACTTCATAAACCTGGTGTATACATTGTGCTCTGGGTCTGAAAGAATACATGACATATGATTGTTCGCTGAATTTAAATGTCACTGTTTGTCACTTTGGTCTCATGAGATTAACGTCTTACCTTCAGTGACTGGGTCCTTTTTGCCCTCGAAATCATCAGTCGATACCGAAATCTGAAAGAGAGAACGAAATGTCATTAAAACTCAATTTGAAATCGGCCAGATTTAACTTTTGCCTCTTTAAATGCATTTTGATTTACAAGATCTCACTAACAATAGATCCACTGCATTGTTATCCAGGACAGACAAACTAACACACAGTGCTTCATTGATCATTACATCATTAAATGTGAGTCAACAACTCCAGCCAGCTGCTCACTTCAGTAAACCATGCCACTGTTAGCTACGAACAGTTGTGTCCTCTGTCTGCAACATCTCATCATGATGAATGGAGTGAGCTAAAGGTGTCTACTTGTCGAACTGAACCACAGCTGAGGTTAAGTTCAGCCTGACTGAAGAACAGAGCCAGTATATCAACGTTATCGAAATGTTAGCTTTAGCTCACGTCACAGGGGACAGCAATGACTCCGTCGAGGTGACTTTGTGTCGTCTGTGCTTTTAGCCCCGGAAACAATGGTGAGGTGTTACGTAGTAAACGGTCTATTTTTATTTACTAAAGGGCAGAAACCGTGTTCACGTTTCAAATGTAGACCCTCCTCACGTTGGATTAGCATTACAGCCAAACAAGGTTAGCTTCTGAACTAGTTAGCTCATTAGCTGCAGCCGCTAACACGCTAAAGCAGTTCTAGTTAATGCACCTTTGTGGACAGTGTTTATTACACGACTACCGACTTATACCCGCTGAAGTTCGCTAAATAACTTACACACTCCATGTTCCACCCGCCGTCTCACCTTCCTGTAGCCGGTGAAGCGTCGACTTCCGCCTGCCTGCAGAGAAGTGCATGCACGTCGCGGGAGCGCGCACAGCTACAGGGGACTGACCTTCTCGAAACAGTCTGTGGGACAGATACAGTCCATGGGACAGACACAGTCCGTGGGACAGACACAGTCCGTGGGACAGATACAGTCCGTGGGACAGATACAGTCCGTGGGAAGGATACAGTCTGTGGGACAGACACAGTCCGTGGGACAGACACAGTCTGTGGGACAGACGCTATGGGACAGACACAGTCTATGGGACAGACGCTATGAGACCTAATGATCCCTGAGACAACGTGCTGTTTAAGAACTATACAATCTCGTTTCTTGGTGTTTATTAATGATTATAAATGATCCAATGCCCATTGTTCAATGATTTATTAGAAGCATTTCCTTTCGATTGGTCTGATCAGTCAATATTTCTGAGTTCGTTGGAGTTAAAATCTGAAAGTCTATAAATACCTGCTGAGTATTGGATTCATTGCTGAGATTAGCTTCCCCTTTCTCTGACTAGATAAGAGTTAGATGTATGAAACTATCAATAATGAGTCAAATCAGCCCAAAATATTAGTTTGTAACTTAAGGAGGGGGTGCATTATTTGGTAAAACTGATTTTGGACCTTCGGAGACATTTGCACTTAACAAGTCCAGCACGTGTATGAAAGTCCCAGTGTTGAGACAAACCCTCTCATAAAATCATTAGAGATCATTACATCTGATAGCATCTTTCCCCTGTAGCTGTTCACAGCAGAGTCGACTTCCGCTGCAAGTCACAGTACAGTAGGTGCCTTAATACTTATAGTGTTACCGCACCACAATCTCAGACTAATTCAAGTAACCGCAAGTAATGCCCCTTTCATACAATCTGTACAGTAATGTCTGCTCCAGCCCAACGACATATGAGCACACTGCATGTGCAGATAAAATGTGTAACTAGCTATATCCGCCCCTGTGCACAATATGTTTGGTTTTTACCTTTGGTTTTCTTCACTTAAAGGTTCAGTGTGTAAGATTTAAGTGATAGAAATTTTTGGCAGAAATTGAATATAAAATAATCCTAGTGATGTTTTTACTGGTGTGTATCATCTAAATTGTTGTTTTCTTAACCATAGATTGGGCCCTTTATATTTAAATACTTTATATTTACATGGAGGGGGGTCCTCTCTGTGGAGGCCGCCATGTTTTCATGACAACTGAAGTTCACCACAAGTTCTTTCATTTTTGGAAGGGGAGGGTGAAATGAGGAGTATTCAGCTGCAACATGACTTCACCTCTAGATGTCACTAAATTCTACACACTGAGACTTTAAGCTTGATGTATTTTATATAATAATTTACAATTTGTAAACTTGTTTGAAGTGTATTCATTGCAAATGTGTATTCGATAGTATTATTATTCTTGCACTAATATTAATTAACATTTAGCAGTGTCCACCTCCATCAACCCACTTTTCTTGTACTGTGTGTTTTTAGACTCTGGAGGCTCATCTATCTGTTTATCCATCATAGCTAATAAAGTAGCACAATGGCAAATGAGTAACAGATTTATTTATATACAAAACTGTTTACAGCAAGATTTCTGAATCAACATTGACCCACAGGGGAATATTGGTGTTCAGGTACAAAACACCACCTGCACCCATAGTATCAAGTTAACAGAAGGGGGGGGGGGGGCCTTTAAGAGCACCTTGAGTCATGAAGGGAAGCAGGTGAGGGAGTTTGAAGAACTGTAAGGCACAAGACACAGCATCACCAGCTTCTGTTCAACCATCATCAATCATTAACTACTTACTCAGTAAAGCACTTGATAAAAAGTTACAATTACCCACTACAGGTAGGACATGACAATTGTAGGGGGGGAAACAAGGTCCACCGTCTGCGTCATGTCTCTGTAAGGCTACACGAGAAAATAATTTATTTCACAATCCCCAAGTGTTTGACACCCTGACTTAGTTTTAAGAAGCCAGCATGAACCATCAAATCAAAACTAAGAGATCTATCTAGAAAAATTACTACACAAACACTGTGGCTGTCATTTAACTGGTCTTACACTGTGTTAAAATGCAATTTAAAATTGCAGCTCATCAATGATCATATTATAATGCAATTATAGGCATATGGTCTACTTATCATATTGAAGGGAGAGCACACCTGCATCACTCAAGATATAACCAATAGTATCAAACCATTTACTAAGATTCTATTTATATGGTATAAAAAGGCTTAAGTGGTAAATACCAAAGATCTGTTCCAATCTAATCCTAAGAAACAAGGTGGGATGTATGTTTGCTTCGCAGAAGAGCTTAAAATGTTTGCTGTTAAATATACAAATAGATTCTTCCGCAGTTCAAGAGTTCATTGGTGTGCGGTACCTGAAGAAGAGTTGATAAAAATTACAGTGAGAAGAACTGTGAAACCCGTGACATTTCTTATGAGAAACTTAACTTGGGGAAATCCACCAGCTGTGAGAAATAGTACATTTTTAACACCACATTTAAAGCAATGTGAACTGCGACTCTCCATCGGCCAAAAATAAGATCTGCTGAATACACCAGTCCTGAAAAAGTAACTTTTTTGACATTAACTTAAGAATTAAGTTAATGTAAAATAGTTATGAGACATAAGCCAATGATGTCTCAAACATAAGATTTACAACTAGTTATAACCATCATACAGTACAACAGAAATTTTATGCGGTTAATTGGGACAATCTTACTGTTTTGTTGAACTCAAAAATCAAGATTTTGCCTGGTCCTAGATTACATTTCATTTTTTAAAGAACGTGTTCACTGATGGTGCCTCTTTGACTATGACAGAATATTCTTGCCAGTACAAATTTCTCCCTGTGGTTACAGCATGTGGGGATTAGTTTGTCAACGGTCTGGGCAGTTTCACTTGCTCTGTAAATCAATCTGGTATCATAACGGATCAGAAAAAGTTCCACTGCAGTGTCTTGGTGTCGGTGAGGTCACGATTGGCAAGCCGGTGAAGTTGTGCCTCCTGTCTTCAGTGAATGAGCTTACTGATGTCCTGGATACATGGTTACATGACAGCACACTTCCTCTCCTCTGGGGCAGCATTTCCATCAGCTTTCTCCATCTCCAAAATGATCCGCTTGAAAACCTCCACAGCAGTCTGTAGTGCAAAAGCATTGTCAGCATAATGTGAGTGTGTCAGAAATACTGTGTGGACTACACCAATGAGTTGATATTCAAAGAGATATCTGTCATCACCTCATTCTCCTTGGCTGAGGACTCCATGAATGCAGCCCCCCAGGAATCAGCCAGTTTCTTTCCCTCGTCTTGTTTGATAACCCTGGTCAAAATTAAACAGACACCATACTTAACTAGAATGACTCAGTAACGGCATTACTCTGCCAAGCTCCCAACAGTGTCCCTATGAAAGCACATATAAATTCACTTGATTCAGATTTGTATTTGGATCTGTATCAAATAGGACACACTCATAAATATCAATCACCAAGATCCATTTAATTATTCCCTGAGAAACCAAGGAAACTGTTGAAAACACCCCAACTTGCAATGTTTATGTAGGTGGAAAAAAAACTGAATTAGCCCCCTGATCTGCATCCGCACCAAAATTGTATGGATCCCGACCCATACCACATCTTTTCACCAAGTTTCATGGAAATCTGTCAAAAAACAGCCAGGGCTGAAAACATAACCTCCATGGCAGAGATTCCTAATAGAATATAATAGAATGCCTTTAATGTCATCACACATTGAAGCATGCCAAAATTATAGCAGCTACCACAGAAAGGTGCATTTAGTAAAAAAAAAGAAATAAAATATAACTATAAAATAAGCATGTTTACAAGACTTTAAAAACTATAGAAAATAGTGCAAAGAGAGGTGCAAGAGGAGGTAGTTGTGGTTGATTGGAGTGCAAAGTAGGTAGTTACGAAGTTACAAAGTTAATAAGATTGAATAAAAATAAAGGAGATTTCATATGAAACTTAAATACTTCAAGGTTGGACAATGGGTTAGGATGGACCATGCTAGTCGCACAGCTAATGGAAATGACTGTATTGTTATGACATTTCAAACTTACAGAAGTCTTGAGGGCCCATTTATGGCCCAGTTTCTGAATGTAGCCTGTGTGTATTTCTCATTGGATGGAACATTTTAATACTTTCACAGTATTTAGCGTGTCTAAAGACCTACTTTATAATAAAATGAGAGATTGAAATGACAACATGGAACCTTTAAAAGAATAACGTCTGACATTATTATCGGTGTTGTTTTATCCAAACACACTCATTACAAGACATTCATCATGATTACCTTTCCATGTGGAGATCTTTTTTGTTCCCTACAAGAACAGTCGGGACCCTGAAAAGAAAATTACATTCTGGTTAAGATTTAATGACTTGGAAAAATAAAATACTAATTTAGAAGCACCAAATTATTAAGATCAAACAACACTTACTGAATCTTTCCAACCATGTCTAGCAGCTTGTCGTGGAGAACCTGCACAACTTCAAAACTGAACAGACAACATCAAATTACTTATCTCAAATTACTTAAAAAGTATTTACTAAGATAATACTCTGCCATAGGCAAAAAGAACCTCCTATTTGAGCATATTATAAAGTACAACAGCACCAAAAACTACAGCCTTGATATTTACCTTATGGTTAACTCATTAAATAATAAACCTGGTTATTAGTCAAATCTAATGCATTAGATGACACTCTTGGTATACATGAGCTAAACCTTCATAAATCTGATGTTTAGGAATGTGTTGAGGTGGGTCTGTATGTGTTAGCACACAAAGCTAGAATCAAAAGTAAGGCACAGTTTGTGATGAATAAAACACAACCATATCCTCACCTTTTCATGGAAGTCACTGAATAGACCAGGACATAACCATGGATGTCCATAGAGTGGGACTGTGGAAAAATTGAGTACTCGTCCTACAGAAAGAGGAGATATAATAATCAGATTGAGAATGAACGTTACCAAACAAAGCCTCAACAAGTTGTCAATCTGAGTACATGTTACAACAGTGCCTAAGATTAAATGATGGGAATGAACACATCAAAAGTGTTGACTTGCAACTAGAAGTTTAGTGTTTCAGTCAGTTAGGGTGGAAGATGAACTTACTTGTCCAGCTGTATCAACCAGTTGAAGGTTGAAGTCTTGGCCACTCATGCTGACCATTTTGTTGAAGGCTGAGAAAGGAGATGAGCTGGTTAATTGAAGTATTTCTTGACGTTAAGCCAATTCATTGTGATTTTCTCTGATTCAATATTGAAGAAACTATCCAACGATGTTACTTACTGTTTTCAATGGTGGGGTCATAGGAGTCAACAAACTGTCCTTCCACAAACTGTATTGTAAGAGATGACTTTCCTGTGCAAAGAAAAGAAACATAACTCTGCTGTTTCCATAATATTTTGATGAAATGTACGTCATAAATACTGAGACATATTTATGGCTTTTCAGCATTTTTTTTACATTTCACTACCAGTTACTATGATACACCATTATATTGTCCATGTCAAATGATCTTAAAATCCTGCTTTACCAGATACCTTTGTTGGAAGTTACCAATAGCTTTAGACAAGGTCGCATTTGAAAACAGAAATGTGTGACCTGTGAGGGGGTCCGATATTTCAGTCAAAACGTGGTATTGACTTTGTAAGATGTAAATATGGCCATAGATCATGTCCCTTACGTTTTGATCAGCACACACGTGTTATCTTGGACATGCTGCACTGTGAGTTTCGAGACATTCAGCACTTTGCACTCAACCAGGAACGTGAACGACTGAGCTAACTTTATTTACACAGAATACGTGACAGCCAGCCGCACACAGCCACGGTTCTACAGCGCAGTAAGGTTTCTTTTGGTGTGTGTTAGTAGTCAACTGCACAGCAAACACACGTAACACAAAGAAACACGAACAAAGGTGAGCTAGCTTGACTGCTGAGAGTCGGATACACTCAGGTGGAAAACAAAGCCAGGACACTAGCATGTTAGCTAGCCGACTAACATTAGCTATGCACGAGCTCGCGTGCTGTACTCACCTACAGACCTGTAACCTATAACAGCAATCTTTCGAAACTTTGGTTGAGGCATCGCAGTGAGGACTGTGTTCAGAAGGTAAAAAACAACGTAGCGCGCCGCCTAGTTTCACTATCGAAACAAACTTTTATCGCCACATTCGTCTCGCGTCACGTGACAACAACAAACTTTTCGGAGCTGCCGCTCGAGCTCTCCGCTGGGCCTCGAGCTGGAACTTCAGAGTTTAACTACCGCGCGTACAACTTGTACTTATATCAACAACGGGCCCCTTCCTGTATACAATACAATCAGCGACTGCGATCGGTACTTTGGAAAAAGGAAATTCGCGTTTCGACAAAAGTTGTAAACGACAAAAAGCGAAGTACGAGCGGTCAGGACTCGCGAGTGAGGCTAACGGAAACTGTCATTGTGTAAGCACACCGTCGTAAAAACAGCGTCGCGTCAGGGCTGACATGAACGAGCACCGTGGCTGGTGTGTACAGTAGAGGTCACTCTTTGCGCGCTCCTGCAGCCCCAGCATGTGTCAGACCCTGTGCAGCACTGACCCTCACAACTACAGACTTTATTTAGTCTTCACTGCAGACACCATCAGACAGGATTTAACAGACCAACCTGTACTGGTTATATCTTCAACCAGGACAGTATTAGAAGAAGCATTCAGGCAAAAAACTAAAATATATTAATGCAAGTAAATACAACACTTGCCAAAAGGGCTGGGCAGTACAACAATATCAATACTTATTACAATACAGTATTAATCAGTAATAATATAACAAAGGTCCAACATAATAATAATAATAATAATAATAATAATACATTTTATTTCAAAGGCGCCTTTCTGTCACTCAAGGACACTGTAGGACACATATATCAATATGTGCATTGTGCAAGCACATTTGGGTGGTACAACATTATTGATCTATCTCAGATTAGTTTAAAAAAAAATTAAACAAGTTTATGAAAGGGATTAAACACTGACACAATACATATAGGCCTACGTACTGACCGACAACACTATTACATGTTTGTCATTCATAAAGCTATAAAGAAGAGTTTAATACCACAGCCTCACACAGGGGCAAAAATCATAAAAGTAATATCATGATGTGATATTTATTGTGATAATCAACAATACCAAACAATATCAACTGATAAGATATTTTTTCAAATATTGATATAAGTTTTGGCCTTATTGCCCAGCCTATAGTGTGTAACATGAACTCCATTCAAAGTGCACTAAACCAAAATAAATCAGGTAGGTTCTCAGATTTATCCTGTGTCAGTGTCGTTAGTCTCTGTATGTGATATCAGATAGACTCCGTGATGTTAAGATCGGGACTCAGTGGGGGTCAGATCAACTGTTATAGGACTCCTTGTTCTTCTTGCCTTTGGTTTCTTTTTGACTCTGGTTGGATGTTTGGGTTTGTTCTCAGAAATGAAGAATGACACTGATCTGAGGCCTCCCACTGCATAATAGAAGTGATTTTGAACCTCCACACACTTTGCACAATTCTGTCAATTTCAAGTAAAAGTACTGCATTCAAATCCTGCGTAAGTATGCATCTAAAAATAGAGCACCACCCTGATTAATTATGTTGAGAGTATGTCATCCCTTTCCACAGATTTGATACTTGGGTGAGACAAACTTTGCAAGGTAACTGAAGAATGTGATGAAGAATAAGATGCATGACGAGGACCCATACAGACACACTTTCTTCTTAAGTTTTTTTTTCTTTAAATTACTTTTTGTTTGTTTGTTTAATTTTATGCAATTACTCATTAGCAATTTTGTCACTTATTTAGTTTACTATGCATATTTATTATGCATGTATTTATTTATCTTTCTTCTATTGCCATTGTTTTATGCTATTGTGATGCTTTTACTGCTTAGTGATATATATTCTGGGGGCTCAAAAGGGTTTGGGGGGGTGTTAATATTGGAATATTTTGTGTCATTGTACTGGTTAAATTTCACAGCTGTAATGTATTAAGTGGAATAAAATGGAAATACTCAAATACTTAAAGGTACAGTGTGTAGAATTTAGGGACATCTAGTGGTGAAATTGCATGTGGCAGCTGAATGCCCCTCGCCTCACCCTCCCCTTCCAAACATGAAAGAGAACCCGTGGAAGCCTTCAGTTGTTATACAACTCAAAAGGTGTTTAGTTTGTAGAGTTTGAACAACTGTAAAAACATGGCGGCCTCCGTAGAGGGGAGCCAGTACAGTAACTTAAACACAGTATTTATAAGCGCGATCTTTTCTTATAAAAGATGCTCTTGGTTCCTGGCTTACATGCATTCATGTCCGCCACACTCCGGTGCTCTCAAATGTCTTCAAATTATCATGAAATACAAAAACCACTCTCCTCTGGTTCAAGATATTTATTTCCAAAAAACTTCCAACATAGGTGTTTCTTACGGAGTGACAGACAGATCAAATCCGTTGATTTCTTTCTTTTCCATCTGATCAAACAAAAAACAACAAACAATGCTGAGCAGTGGTCTAAAACTGTATGGCTGCATGCCTGAAACCGAGAGCTCCACCAGCCCCAATAGCCAACACTAATATATCACAGGTGCTGCAGTCACTTGTCTATAAAGAGGAGGCGGAGGTGAGAACAGGCATCAATCATGTACAGCTATGTCAGCCATAATTTCACAACTTCATAATTGTTATCAATTCAACTAATAATTCAAACCAGAATATTTCATGTTCATATCTCATAATGAATCAGATAGTAATAATAATAATAGTAAAGCAGATACAATAAAATATGAATCAAAACATAAATAAAGCATGTGGCTCCAACAGTACTTGAATAAAAGTGCTCAATCCACTGCTGATTCCTGGAAACCCCTCCAGGAAGACACCATACAATGTCATGTATCAGCTGTAAGAAGAGAGCAGCAGATCCAAATCCCAAACACAACACTCAGTGTCTTTATGCTCTCAATGTGTTTTTCTGCAGATCAGCAGCTCATGTGAACTGGTCTGATGCTGCTGCTTGCTCATAGGCTCCCAGGCAGCGCCTCCCAGGATAGCACCGGAAATGATAAGTGGCTGGAGGTAAATGCTGCCGGGCGATGCAGCCGTCATAAACAGGCAGATGAAAATACAGAGTAACCTCACTGAAACGGCCGTGACAGGGACAGGTAATGCAGCAGCCACCGGGAGAACCGGGGAACCTTAAAATGTACATTCGTAGTCGGCTGTCTCCGCCGTGCTGAGCTGTGAAGTCCACCACGACGCTCCTGGGAGAACAGGCTACTTAGCTAGCTAGCTAACCATTAGCTCGCTAGCCACAGCACTCCGGGCGACGGTGGCTGCCATAGCAACGGTTTAGGAAACATTGGCTGTGGGAGCTAACTAGCTTGGATAGCTCAGGCTAATGGTGGTTTGTTATGCTAGCGTCAAACAAGCCGCCGTGGAGACTCCAGCGTCCAGATTAATGTCAGACCCCGCAAGTCAGTGATATGTGCCTCGCGTCATTACCCACATTGCACGGCTGCAACTTTGATCCGTGTTTCTTACTCAGCTGTCAAAGGTGCCAGGAACGTTCTAGCACTGAGTTGAGCTAATGTGGTTAGCGGTAATTTCCATCACATGAGCTAACGTTAGCCGCCCAGGCCGACCCGTCAACTTTACCTCAACGCCACCGTTATGTAAACGCTGTCAATCTGCATTAGGAACTGGATTTCTGTCTCATCTGTCTCGGATGAGCCTAATGTTGGATCAGCTCACCGCTAAATGATTTTATCAGTGTTGTCATGACTCGATGTAATTGTTCGAGTCAAGCAGCTGATCTGTAGCAGCTAAGGTTAAAGTAGGCGCTAAAGTAGCTGCTGTTTGACTTTACTTTAAATATTGGCACAATTAGTCAACGCGCATCCACTTATCCTCTGAGTATTTATCAGCAGAGATCAGATTGGTGCAGTAAATACCGACGTAGTTCTAAATCCACGGCCTGACATGTTTACGATAGTTTGCTAACATTCAAGCTCGCTGCTGGTGTTCTTTGTGTTTGTTTTGTTCAATGTGTAGATTATCTTCTAAGCACATCGGGGATTTTCATTTGATAACGGTATGTCACATTGGACCTCTAACAACATGCTAAGCTGTTATTCTAAAGGAGGTTGCACTAATGTGATTATGTTTGAGTGCATCTGTGCTCAAGTGAATGTATGTGAGAGATAACTCAGTTTGATCTTTAACCTCTGACACAACTGTCATTTCAGTATTCTGCTTGAACTAGTATGGATGTTGATGACTGCAATGGCCGGTCTTATATATCAGGTGGGACTGGTCTACTTTTGATGTAATACACTTGTCTTTTAAGGTTGACATGTTGCTCTAGTAACAGGTCCTTCTTGTGTTTTTCTTTTTTTGATGCAGCTAGTGGAGACTCTTCAATGGAGAGAGAGTTTTCTGGGGCCCTTGGAGGTCCAACAGTGAGCACCCCAAACAGCAAGGAGACCTCTCCTAGTCGCTCCCTCAGTGGTCAGTGAAAAATCATGTATTAATTTCACAATTGTTAATCAAATCCCAAATAAAAATAGTTTTACATGTCTCGTCTTTATTTGTTGCCGATAAAGAATCAAGTTGTTTGTCACTTTTACTTGATTCATGATTGTTTCATTATTCAGATTGCACTTAATATCGATTTGAGATAAAGTTGCTGGAGAGGCAGCCCGACTCTGATCACATAAATAATGACATCTCAACCTATTCTTACTCAGTTGTATATTTTCAAAGTCTGGTAAAATACAAGTTTATCATCCTATTCAAGACTTTCTTTATTTTTGCTCCTGCACTTATAGCCAACTCCATTAAAGTGGAATTGTACAGTGATGAAGACCCAGGTCGCAGTACTGAAGATGAAAGAGGGGAGAGGGTGGAAGAAGGAGGGACAGAGCAGGGATCTGAGGGTGTCGGAGGATACAGGGAGCTCACCAATCCTGAAACCATACCATCTGGAGCCACCAGGCTGCCAAACGGAAAGCTCAAGTGTGACATCTGTGGGATGATCTGCATTGGGCCGAATGTTCTCATGGTGCACAAACGCAGCCATACAGGTGACTTAACAATCTATTTTGCCAGAACACATTCATTAACAAAAATAGGACAGATATAAAATTTGTCTTTTTGGTGATTGTAATCTCACTGATAGATATGAGTGTAAAACAGTGTTTGAGACATTATACGCGCATTAAGAGAAGTTGGGTTAACAGATTATACCTTTCCCCAGGTGAGAGACCATTTCAGTGCAATCAGTGTGGTGCCTCCTTCACTCAAAAGGGTAACCTACTCCGACACATCAAGCTGCACTCAGGGGAGAAGCCCTTTAAATGTCCCTTCTGCAGCTATGCCTGTCGAAGGAGAGATGCACTAACTGGCCACCTTCGCACTCATGCAGGTAGGACCGATTCAAGCTTGATGACTGATTTTTTGGGGTAATATAATAGTTGGCATGTTAAGACAGTAATGAGGCTTTATTACCTACTTTCTCCCCAGTGTCCTCTCCAACTGTAGGGAAGCCGTATAAGTGCAGTTACTGTGGCCGTAGTTACAAACAGCAGAGCACCCTAGAGGAACATCGAGAGCGTTGTCACAGCTACTTACAGAGTCTGGAGTCAAAGCAGCCATCCAGTGCTCAGAATCCAGGTATGTGTTTAATGACATTCATGGACATTACATATCAGAAGTAAAGAACATTTTCTCACATAAGAGAGGAATCTAAATCATAGTATAGTGTTGCAAATATCCCTTTCCAAATGGATTGTAGTAGCATCTAATGCAGAAACGGAGGTGTAGGGGTAACCCCCCCAAATTCTATTAACTTTTACTGTATATCTAAAATGTGGTTTAGATTTTCTATTGACAACCAGCAAACCTCTTTATCGTTTGGGATAAATGCTGTCTGGGTGAAAAGAGAACCCCAAAAATTAACTTTACAATTTGTTTGTACTTTGTGCAGGAGAGGAGATGAGAGAGCTAGAGTTTATACAGGACTCTCTTCTGCAACCCTCTGCAGACAAGATGGCATTTATTGATCGGCTCGCAAACAGCATCACCAAACGCAAGAGATCCACACCACAAAAATTTGTAGGTGAGCATTTGGTCTCAGTGTGGATGGGTTCAGGAAACGTAGAAAGCAGCATTAATCGCTTGAATAGTATACCACATGCATCAGGATGGATCTTTTTGTTCTTAAGTGACCAATGGCTTTCAGGATTTTATGAACTTTTGTTTTATCCAAGTTTTATGATTGGTCTTAACTTACCACCAATCATTTGGTCGGAAAAGGTCTGATTCACCATTAGCTGCAGGACGAGACTCAAGTCATTTAACTGACATGAAAAAAAACTCAACAACAACATAACAACTGTTATTACATTCAAAATGAATCCACAAAACCTGGCAGACTGTTAACTGGGCAAGCTTTCCAAATTCTTTACCGCTGTGACATCTTCCACAGACTTCCCTTGTACAATATGGTGATATATCATGTCCTGACACAATACAATATTGTGTCTTTCTCAATTGCAGGACAGAAGCACATACGACTCAACCTTGGAGATGCACCTTATGAGCTCAGTGCTGGTTTGGATAAAGACGGGGAGATGCACGCAGGAGAGCTTGAAGCTCCGCACTTTACTGGTCTGGGAGGAGAGTACGCAGGCATTGCAGGTAATGGAGGAGGGGTTTCAGACACTCTGAGGCCTTTACACCTTCCCACCACTCACCCGTCATGTCTGCCGGAACTCAGGCCAATCCACGGCTCCTCTCACGTCCCTGTTGCTCTAGGTCCGAGGCTGGATTGTACAGGGACGGGAACTGGGCTGGGAGCTGCAGGTGTAGGGGGAAGGGAGGCAGCAGAGGGTCACGAAGACCTGCCTGTCGGTCGAAGTCACGCGCCCTCGCCTAGCAACGGTTGCCAGGACTCTACAGACACAGAGAGTATGCCCGATGAGCCTTGCAACAGTACTGCTCCAATTCCAACCCTGCACAGTAACAATGGCCATCATCTCCTCTACTCAAACAACCACAACCCAGTGCCTCCTCCCATTGCACACCACAGGAGTCGGGACAGACACAGCCCCAGCCACGCCAAAGAAAGGGAGGTGGAAAGACAGGTTGGAGGCCATTCAGCCCCACCGCCTCCTGCCCTCGCTCCGACTCCCAGCTCACCTACAGCGCCCTCCTCCACTTCCAGGGAGGCTTTTCGGGTCGTAGACAGCGAAGGGCGGGCCGTGCGCTCTTTTCGTTGTGAGCATTGCCGTGTGCTTTTCCTGGACCATGTCATGTTTACTATCCATATGGGCTGCCACGGTTTTCGCCAGCCTTTCGAGTGTAACATCTGTGGCCACCGCAGCCAGGACCGCTACGAATTTTCTTCTCACATCGTCCGCGGAGAACACATCCTTGAATGAGGAAAAAGGGTGAACAACTTGCTTACCCTAAAGCTATTTTTACACTGAGACAAGGACCTGGCTGGGTTTGGTCTGCACACACGATAAAGAGGCACTGATGATGTGAAGAGGCACTGGTACAGTAAGTATGTACCAGCAGTAATAGAAACTCCTTATGCATGTTTCCGATCAATTTTTACCCTTATCATTATCAATGCATTTCAAACATTATCTTCTTAAAATGCACTTTCAACGAATTGTTTTCTAAAGTAGATAAAGAGCTGATGCACTTTTTCACCCACAGATGTGCCTTGCTCCAAACTCCAAACCTGATGCACAAATTCTAGTAGACAAATCAGACTTTTATCCATAACATGAAAACGTTACCTACTTGTGCACTTTAACAGAAATACTATGTAAGAAGAACAATGTGAAATTGATGGGCTCACCTACGGATGAATCAGATTTGAACACCTTCTTCTAAAAGCACTTTCGTATCACATATTCCCTAACATTCATTATGTAGCGTTTTAATTTGGGGTTAATCGAGAACAATGAATCGCTTTTTAAAAATGACAACTCAAGTGCAGACCAAACTCAAACTCCAGGTCCAAGCTGAATGGATGTGTTTTGAAGAATTGTCCATGATTTAGCAATGCACTTTTGTTTTTGATGGGGTTTTGGTTGACAGGTCTGAGTGCGTGTGTGTGTGTGACAGAGAGAGAGTGAGAACAAGGACCCCTGTGTGTTTTTTGGAAGTAAGTTGAACAAGTAAGTGAATAATGAAGACCTTTCTTTGTGTGGATGCCGACTGGGGCTGTGTATGAAATGTTTTGTTTCTTTTCCATGACTGCTTTTGTTGCACTGATACCTGCCAGAATATAATAATCATATTAAACTATTTTGTAGAATACATAACTGACCGGCACATTTCTCTCAAATTTTAGAAAAACTGATGAAAGGTTTCTCTCACTAGGACAAGAGTATCACTGCCACAACTTTAGAGATTACTCAGAGGTTACAGGACCTTTACAAGTCCCAAAAATAGTCCATGGCATCACTCTATCAAACTGCAAACCAACATTAATCTTTTTATTTTTTATTTGACATTCAAACAGGAGTTTGTTGTTACTATCTCATTGTATTGTGCCTTTCTTCACCCTGATCACAACCTGTTGACCAGACGGAAAGACACAAGCTACCAAGTCTTATCTGGAAACCGATCATTGTGTGATGATGCTAGAGATGATGAGTTATAAAATGAGGTAACTGCTCGATTGATTGATTTTCAGACACTAGAGTCTCCGACTTATGACTTTGCACAATATTTATCCTAATCAGATGTGTGATTTTTATTAGTGCTGGAAAAGATGAAGAATCACTTCTGCTATTTTATCAAAGACTAACTGTACCTGACATTAGGCTCATGCTGCTATGACACAAGTGAGTACACTGTAGCAGTTTACTACATCCTCACAGGTTAAATCCAAAAATATGTTTTATTTGCTTTGTCTTTGAGCACATGTCAGTCCACAGTTACCAAGGCAACAAATGATCCTGTCTTGGTAAAAAAAATCTTTAGAAACGAAAAGAGAAATGCGTCAGTCTAAAGAGCAAAGTCGGCCTGTGATTCTGTTTACATGTTAAAATAACAGAGATGGTTGGTTGACTCTTCTCATTAATATTTCACTTAACTTACTTTAAGCACAATAAATTGTTCACATCCAGCAGACAAAATGTTTAAGATCACAGAATTGGATGCAAAAATGAATCCCACTTAGTGTCGATAAACAGGACAGTCAGTTGTTTAGATTAATGAGTTTGCTCTCCACGTGTCCTGTTTTAAATGATCTATAAAGAAAGTTTTGGACGGTAATTAAAAAAATAATGAAGTCTGGAACCAGGTATGGACAGGCCTCTGATTTTCAATAAGGTCGAAACCTATCAAAATCATCAGCCGACTTGAGTTCTTATGTGATCCAGAAAAAAGTTTATTGGACTGAATTTCCTCAATAAATTTATCAGAACTGATGTTTAGACTTTATTTAATTAAATAGATCTTTTCAGCATCTATAAATGATCTATAAATCTTTTTAAAATCTTTTTTAGCCTAAACAGGAACCTCTGAAGGCTTTAAATGGTTCTGTCATGTACTGAATGAAGTTGTTTGGATTTTCATAGTAGTGGCAATATTGGTTTTTGAGAGAGACGAATGGGAAAAAAAAAAAAAAGTAATATTTTCTGCATTGCACCAAATAACGGTTCCCTCGTGGCTGAGGCAATGAACCACTGCCTCCACCTGTTAAGCTCTTTTCCCTGTTAGACTGGCGAATTGCAAAGTATTAGTTATGAAGAAGCGACAAGTGACAAATCTTTTTGTTTTCATTGCTCTGTTAGAAAAATAAAGTAGATGTTAAAATGATCTTCTCCCTTTAGTTCAGCTGAAAAACATTAAATGATAATTTGGTGATTTCCTTTTGGAATAAATGAAATGATTTTACCTCAGTTCACCTTTATTTTTAAAAAGTTACAAGTTCAGTGAAGTTAAATTGGTTTGAGGGATGTTTACAAATTAGTTTTGTTGTATATTGCTGTATGAGATTGACGGAGAAGAGTGAAGGAGAAAGAGTCACTTGTTGACACAATGAAATGTGATTTTGTTACAGTACATCAACACAGAAACCTAAACAAGTGGTTAAAATGCTTTTTCCAAAGTTAGAATTAAAATAGAAAATCTGCATATCTTGCCTTAATATGTGAAAACAGACTGATCATGTGAGGACATTCGGCGCTTTGTAAATTGAACATCACATTTTTCTGATCACTTACATCTTGTTTTATTATGTGAAGTCCTCAAGAATTATTTGAACATGAAGGCTGATACCTTTGTTTTTGTCGGACACCGAAAATGTTAAGGTTTTAGATTGAAAGACAAATATGAGACAAGAGTTTAGAATGTCATTTCTTTACTTCCTGGTAATTACATGTAGATGGGTTTAACATCTCAGGACATAGAGCCATTATCAGTCCACCCTGTTTTTAGATGAGCTAAAGTAAAGACACAGATTGTCTAAATGTTAAATACTTATTTTTAATGTATTCAGTCTCAAGCTTGCTTGGGACCTTTGATGGGTGAGGGGTTTCATTGCCTTTCTCCCATGAACAACTCTGGGCTTCATGTTGGTTTAACCTTTTTAACAAAAAATGTCTTAACGTGTTAATTTCCAAGACTAAAAGAGTAGAATTTCAGAGCCATTCAATCTTTAGGGCAACAACAAAACTCAACTCACATGTTCTATTATTTTGCACAGCTGAAAAATGGGTTGATTAAACAAGAGCCTATAGGTGTAAAAAAAAAACAGGAAACAAAATATGAAATTCTGAACTTTTGTCTCATTCATTTATAATCTTAAACCCAAATAAAAAAGGATTGGCATTTCCAGTACTTTGAGGGGGCTGTATATTCTGATTCAGGAAAAAAAAGGCAAACAAAATAAAGGCCCATGTGTGGTTCTTTGGTTGATGTAATTTCTGTGTAGTAGACTTTGGCTGTTGTGCCTTTAGCCTGAGGTATTTCTGTACTTAATTTCTTTCTCTACTGTTAAAATTCTCAGTTTAAAGTATCAAGTTTGTTTTGTTAAGTGCTGCACATTACAAAAACACCTCACATTTTGGTCATATTTAGAAAAGTTTTTCACCCCGTCGTTTCCCCTGAAACCTCAAGTGATCAGTGACCTGGGCCAAGTGTTTCGATTTTAACTAGACGATCACAGATCAGAGTAACTTTGGTAATTCTGGCAGCTTAGAGCCAAAGATGGAGCCACCTTTTAAAAAAAAAAAATATGTTGAGCTTCCTATACACCTGAACCCACAGCCATGATGTTGAATTTTAGAGCGACATTTTTGGGAATCTAGATTAGGTCCCTTGTCCATGACTTGTTTTTTCACTGTAGAACTGTTTGGAGTTGCAATTTCAGCACAGTAGGTTCAAATCCACTGACAGCCCTCTATATAAGTTGTGAGTTTGGACATTGTTTAGATATATTTGTGTGTGCTACACTGGGCAGTAATGTGCTTCTGAACCTGATGCATGTGGTACCAATGCTGTTTGCTCCTGAACCTTCACCAGTCTCCTCTGTTGCATTCTGAAGGACAACCAAATAATCTGCTCCAATTCAAGACTATACTAAAGAAAAGAAACTAATGCTAGTTTTGTGGTATTTTGTTTTCCCTGTTGCACTATTTGCTCCCTCTGGTTTTACTCTTTAACATTCCCCTCCTGTAAATGGTCTGATATTGCTTTAAGTAACTGCAAAGCCTTTTCAAATGTATCATATGTAATTATGCATTTGCAGAATTTGATCTTAAACCACTGTAAGTTTTGTACTGTAAGAGTCTATTCCAAATAAAATACTTGACAGGCCTCTTTTCTACAACTACACAACACAAGGTCAGTTTACAACCACACAACACATGGTCTGTTATGAAGAATGAGCATCACACTTTCAGGTTTTTGTAAAGACTTTTGTGTTTATTCTTCAGGTGTCAAAGCATCTGCAAAATTTGCTTTACATGGGCTTTGGAGGAGCTCTTGGTGCACCAGCCTGTCAAACAGAAAACAGACAGTTTTAGATTCATGTGACATCATTGCTGGCTTGTCAAACAAAAATGTGTAGCTCATTACATTCCTAAGTTCCCTATATTATCAACTCTGGTATAGTGCATTTACATTGTTGTTTCAAATGAACCCAACTATAATAAACATTAGTTTCAATGGCTCTTTCCCTACTTTTACTAATCCCACTATCTGCAATGCAACAAATCCTTGTATAGCATAAACCATGCGGTGGGTTGTACTCACAGCGGGCCTGAATCTGGGTGGTGGAGTACGGTCTTTCCTGGCCTCACAGGAGCGGTTCCTCACCACTTTGCTGTGGATGGCACAGCTGACACAGTAGTGCAGCTTCACATAGAGCTTGGGTAGAACGTAAGCTGCAGAGACGATAGACAGGAGAGGCACAGATGAGGACATGCTGCCACGTTAAAACAAAAACACTAAGACAGCTTTTGAGGTTGCGTGTAAAGAAAGAACAAATGACACTCACAGTCAAAGACACTGGCCTCTGAGATGTCTCTCACAGCCGCAGCCTCCACTATGTTCCTGATGACAAACTTCTTGATGGCTTTGTCCTTGGGGACACAGCGGGCACAGTTGGTGCAGCGGATGGGCTGCACATGCCCACGGCCCTTCTTGGCGCGACCGTTATTCCTCCTCTTCTTAGTCTGTAAAACAAGATGACAGTCAGCACAAAATAATTAGCAAAAATCTTTGAGCTTATATAAAATGAGAAGTTCAGTTTGTTGGAAGAACGGTTCGATGGATCAGTCCTTGAATTAGGTCATTAATGATTTTCCTTAACATCCTAAACTTTGAGAATATCTGCAGAGACTGCAACTACCAATTATCTTAATTTCCGTAAATCGGATTACTTCTATTCTTCTCAGTTAAGTGGTTTAATATGGTAATGTCAGGAAATGATGAAAAAAGCTACGTTTCTTAGAGCTGGTCTTTTCAAAGGTGTGACTCAGTCCAAATACTATTTTAATGTTAGCAAAGCAGGACAGGATTTTTTAATAAATTAATACTCGAATGAGAAATTGATGTCCATGATTACTTTGCTGTCTGCTGACAAATGACTGCAGCTGACTAAAGTCTAACATAACTCAGCAATAGCGACAAATGAGGATTCACTTCCAACACGAATTACTGTCAATATTTAATAATTAAACCATGAACAGAAAATGTCATTTAATAAAGGATTGACCATCTTTTCCACCCTGACGACATAAACCCATAATGGTTGAGCACGGTTAGCTGCGGTGTCCAGAAACGACTGCAACAAATGTGGTTCTGACCATCATGAATATCTGAATTTGATTTTAGTGATTAAGCTTTAGAATGAGATCATGAACATCACACGTGTATTTTGAGCCACATCCCTTCAGGTTCTCTGCGCTGGGGCAGCGGCCGTTTCTTTCGTCGGCTCACAGGAACACATGCACAAAACGGCTAGCCTGCTAACAGCTAGCATTAGGCCCAGACTCCGGTTTAAACCATTTGGACCGACATTAACCATCGGTTCTCCACACTGTGGGTCTGTATGTATGTTTATAACGCCGAGGAGACACGGATGTTTCAGACTGTTCGAGTAAAAGTACAGTTTGTTCTGGTTTCAGCACACGGCCTCACTCAGACACACTCACCATGTTGCACGGGAAGCTGGAAAGAGAACCGGAAGAGGTTGTACCGCGAGAAGTAGTGCAACGCGCTCCGCCCTCTAAATATTCACATTAAAATCACGAGCGAATCTACGTCTTACTTTAGTTTGACATCCACAGAAATGAAATGTTTGGTTTACAGTTTGAATCAAGAAAACAATTAGACGAATTTCTTAAAAAATAAAGCATTAACAAACGTTTATTGGCGGAGGGATATCACTGTACATTGGTTTCTTAACCAGGCGTCACCTGAACGGGCGGAGTTCTCTTCACTCTTGTCATGTGGCTGGGAGGGGCCGCGTCGTGCTACGCCGTTCTCTAAAACAAGCACATCCACCATGCTCTTATAGTGACAGGGCAAAGTTTGTTAAAATAATTGAAAAATAGTTTCAAGTAAAAACAAAAACATTAAGAAATATAATAATCAAATCAAAGTCTTATTATTTTTATATTACTCGCAGCAGTAGACAATGTTAAGATTAGTTGAAATTGTATACTTAAAATATTTAAAGGAGAACTTTGAAAAGTATTAAACTTCACAACCAGTAGTATCATACAATTAAAATATGCTCACAGTGCTCATTAAACAATCTGACCCATTTCAGAAAAATATTATTTATAAAAAAAAGAATGATGCATTAGCAGCTGATGAAGGCGGAGCTCATTCGATTACTTCACTTAGTGGTGGGCAGCTTGTGAGTTCCTCCCAGGAATGAATCAAATCTTATCTTCACCTCAAAGAATGCATCCACATCTACTTGTTGACTGTTCAATAAAGCAACCAATGACTAAATAAAACAAACATGGTGACATAAAAATAACGGTATATACCTCTGCTTTATAGTATGAGTTACATAACAGGAGGTAGAAGAAAAAGAAAATGCTCAAGTACAAGAACCTCGACACAGTACATTACAATACAATACATTACAATACTGTTCATTTGTTCAACCTATCATGCTCTCATTCAAACCTATGGAGTGTTCTATTCTAACATCTCTGTTATCTTTGCTTAGACCAGGAAAGAGAGCAACAGTGGAATCCATCATTGCGTAGCCTTGCACACAATTGATTTAGTTAATGTTTGTCTTCCTCAAACATGTGGTTTATTTAGTTAAATCCCAAAGACGATGCTGCCATCGTCTCCAGAGACTACCTGTGAGTAACACGTCACCTTACTGTGATTATAGCTTCTATGTTAGGCTTCTCATGGCTCTCGTTTCTGAATCGTCAGCATAAATTAGGTCTTTGCACAAAATGCAATTCATTCAATTTTCCTAAAATCACCGTAAGACAAACACATAAAGGTTAATGTGAAGTCATCTAAGTCCTCTAATATGCAGTTTAACTGTTACTGAAAATGCCATCACAATGAATGTATCTAATTATTTTGCAAAAGTTGTGTGCAATGTTTAAGGTTTTAATGAAGTACATATTTACTTGGTAAATAGTACAACACATACTCTTAACACCTATCTGTAAATATGACATGTGTAAATATGAAATAAACACAGAGGACAATAAATACAATTTAAAAAATTTATTTAAATAGTTCTGTGCCATGTCTTCATTTCTTCTTGACCTTCTTGTCCTTGGCCTTCTTCTTGCTGGGCTTCTGGGCGTTGGCCTTTATGTAGAGGTAAAGTCCCACCAGGCCGAGCAGAGTGGGCACCAGGGCGAGACACACCAGGGGGAACACGTCATTGATCATTTTCTGCCATGGCGTCTGCTGCATTAGAGAAATCACCTCTACCTCGAACTCAAGAGCAGCATCACCTTGGACAGATAGAGGCTGAACTTATTGTTTTGTAAAAACACACAATTAATACACATGTATACACTGTCCCACTGTTGTAATTATTCACAAGTGTATCAATCTGCATATAATCCCTAACAAACACACTACTTACCCCTGTTTCATTTTCATTTGCTAAAAACAAAAATCACTTTCAGGCTCGAAGTCACTTAAAAATAAAACTTTATATTTGTGACCACATACAAAACTCACATCACACAGGGACTGGGACGGTTTGCTCTTGTCTTGGGATTTGTCAACAATAAGAAAATATAAAATAATACCAACCTTATCCTAATATTCAAATGTTGTGTGTGTAAAATGTATGTGACGTGTTGTTATCTAAAGCTGTACAGTGAAGTGCAAACATTTCTCTTCAGTAATGGAGACTTTCTACAAATATACACTACAGTGTAAAGTCTACTGCATTCAACACCAATTAGATTTTTCAATAGGAGACTGTATACATTTGGCATAATACTGTAGTGCAGTAGTGCACTTGATCAAACTCAGTGTGCTCTGATTTGTGTGTGTGTGTGTGTGTGTGTGTGTGTGTTGTGTGTGTGCGTGTGTGTGTGTTCAGTACCTGGGATTGTAGGAGGGTAACCTTTTTTTCCATACGCAAGGTGAGAGGGAATAGTAGCCTTGATTTTTTGCCTGAATGAAATTATAAACAAAACACAATCACAGACAAAACATTTTTTCAGGTTCTATCACAAAACCTTCACTTTGGTATTTTTGTGGATTGAAGCCACTGTTAAGCTTTTCTTCTGATGGACCTTTACTTTTTTATCTTACCCTTCACACACGCCAACCAAGCTTTGTTCCAGACCTGATAAGAAAATCACAAAGTGAGTCAATCAGCACAGCCAGCACATTCCCTGCCTCACCACAGGCTGCACTTCATCCATCAAATGTCACATAATCATTCAGTGATCAAGCAACACACACACAGACAAAACTGTTAAATATTAATTCACCAGGAATAACCGTCCTCTTCCCCAGTTCGACAACAAGAGGGTCCCGGGACAGAGACGAGTCAATCACTTTTCCATCCATCAGTTTTCCCTGAACAGAGAAGAGACGTGAGATGATGACATTACTGAAAGACACTCAAAGATACAAGACGGCTCAGTTTGTTTTAATTTGACCATCTCTGTGTCCACGTTTTTGACAAAATAATTCAAAATCACTTGTGTGTGTTACCTTGTGCATATTCTCTTGATGAATGAACCATTAGGAGCAGAAAAAACATTTATTTTAAATTCTTTTTTTCATCATACCAGTAATTCTGCCAAATCTTCAAAGTCAAATTCCCAGTTAATAGATTTTTTTCTAGAATTTAATAAATATTACAAAATATAATAAACCTAAATATGTGCAGCCTCTACAAATATTTTTATTTACCAATCCAAGTTTCTGTCTTATTCTGTGTCAATATTTTCACCAAAGACCTAAACTGTTCCTAATTGTTGAGGCTTGATTTTCAATTCCTTAACCACACTTCAAATATGTCTCAGAGCTGAACACCTGGTTTTCTGAAAAATACATATTTTTCTTGCTTTACCACTGTTCTAAGGTTTTTCCAAAAACCTTAAGTTCTCTAATGAAAATAGAAGAATGTAAAAACCTGTTCTGGAAGCTGGGACTGTATTTCCTCTCCAAGTATCTGGGTAGCAAATGTCATGTCTCTGTGTCCTTGCTCTTTTTGTGAAACACATGTAAAATATTCACATATTACTTATGTATAAATGATAAAAAATGTGTTGCATGGTTAACAAAACGTTTCATGTTTTGTAGACAGAATTATCTTTCAATCAGTACAAAGGAAAAAGTACTGTTTCTGTAAAATTTAAAAAAGGATTTGCGTTGCTAATGTAAAGCAAAGATTTTAAAAAAAACACCTACATGTTATTAGGGATTCAGGAAATAATTTGAGATGTTTTACATAAGTTTTGTGTGTTTTAAAGACTGGAAAGTACGCTTTAGTATTAGCTTCATGGTTCTAATATGATAATAGCACATGGGAGGCACATTTTAATTTTGAAAGTGTATTTTAATTACATAAAGCCACAGAGCAAATAGCTTGTTATAACACAATGTGAGGCTAAAATCCACCAAACTGTTAAATTCCTGAAGATCAACATGGGTAATGATTGAAAACCACGAGCCTCCAGTGTGATCCATGGGCACACACACACGCACACACACGCACAGTACACTTTTACTGCTGACGTGTTGCGCCGCCCCATCGCTCCATAGTAGAAGCAGAGACGATCGACTCCATACAACCACATGAAGCTCTCGCATTAACCACAGACATCTGTGTGTGTGTGTGTGTGTGTGTCCTGCTCAATCAGCTGCTGATCTGACCACAGATCTGTGTGTTATTCACTCTCAGTGTGTGGATGCACAAACACAGTGTGTCCACATGGCTCGTGCAGACGGTGCCACATTAGCTATGGTCGTCATCAGCAGACTCCCTCACATCTACTGCTCTTTGCACAGACACACACACACACACACACACAC